AGGGGGCACACAGCTGGGACCACAGCCCCATGGCTCTCCAAGCAGCATCCAGGGAATGGCTTGGGGGTGGTGTTGAAAATCCAGAATCCAGAAACCTCTGATCTTTGTGCCTCGGGTGGCAGTTGTCACGAAGTGCCACACAGTGGGAGTGGGGAGAACACAGCAGACACATAGAGACACCTGTAGTCAGGGGTTGGCAGGCCTTGCCCCCTCCTCTTCTGCCTCCCAGGTGTTCCTGGGTTTATCGCTGTGTCCCTCCGGCCTCTGCCTTATGCTGGGGCAGTCCCTCCAGGGCCATGGCATCCACAGTGACCCTGTTCCCGATAAGCGTATACCCACAGACACTGGGACTTGAGCTGACCTCTTTTGGGGACCCAGCTGAGTCTGGGGTGGGACCCAGAAAGCATGGCTGAGTATTAACTGGGCTGCAGGTGGCCCTGGTGCAGGCAGACTTAGCACCCCCGCTGGGGGCCCCAAACAGAAGCTACTCTCAGAGGACAGAGGTGGCCTGGGGGATTCCAGAACCTGCCCCAAGGGGTGTCTGCCTCTCCAGGAAGAGATTCGGGCCTTTTGAGGGGCTGCCGCAGACACAGAGCTCAGCTGGTTCTGCAGTCTCCCCAAGGCCCTGCTGGCTCTGCTCTGTGCTCTGTGTCCCAGCTAGGCCAGGCCGCCCCTTCTCAGATGGCTGCATTCAATGGAGTTTCCTGCAGGTGCGTTTCAAGAACCCATGCAGGCCAGCAGGCCCTGATCCTGGCGCTGGTGGCCACAGGGTCAGCTTGGGGCCTGGAGCCTGGGGATGCGCACCGCATGCACACACAGCTGTGCAGCTGCCTGGCTGTCCCTGCGGATTTGCTAATGCAGCGAGATTAATCGGGTCTCACTCATTAATTTGCACAACTCCTCCCTCCCCACCTGTGCCCGGCTGGAAGGCACAGTCCCGGAAGCTAGTGATCATCTCGGCTTCTGAATTAGACTCTCACTCTGGTCCCTCCCACCACAGCTCCGGAGGAAACCCCTGATTGAGTCACAGGCCCGGCCAGACACCCAGGATGCACCCGAGTCCCAGTGCTGGGGCCTTTGTGCAGTGAGCCCTGCGTCCATCAAATGTGGGGGAAGGGGAGGAGGTTGGTCTCTCTCAGACCGCTGTCCATGCCCCGTTCACTCCAAAGGCAGCCCTGGCTAGCGTGAGGAGAATTACTGCTTGGGCTCTGAGAGGACCTGCCCCTCCTCTCTCTGTGCCCTCCCCACCCTCCAACCGTCCCAAGGACATTTCTATGGTAACAAGGTCCTCAGCACAAAAAGGGATTCCATCAAAGGTGGGAGCTTGGTCTGGTGGGAGTGCAAGCTGCGGGGGAGGAGGGGATCCTGGCGGGCTGGGGCTGGGGGAGGCTGGTGAGAAAGAGGCCAGGCAGTGGTGGGGCCATGCATGAGGCTGTCAGCCCCAGGTCCCACAGGCATCCCTGGGGGCATGCTGGGGGGCTCATTGAACCTGGAACCCTGACACCCATATTTCTGCTTGAGACATCACCCTGGAGGGCTCCTGGTCCCTCCAACCCTTCAGTCAGGCCAGACCAACAGAGGGGAGGGATGAGTCCATCCCTGCCCAACACCTCCCCTCACCAGGTGAGGCTGCTCTGGCGGAGCCATGCCTTCCCTGGTCAGCACTGTGGCCTTTAAAAGCAACATGCACCCAAGAGGAAATGCACGGAACCTGTGCTTCCTCATTAGTACCATTTCCAGATGCGTGATTCTTGAACACACACGTCTCATAACCATGCCTCCTTTTTTCCTTCCAGAATGTTCTCTCTGATGTCATACATGCCACCTGCTGCCCTCTCCCCACCACCACATAATGTAAGGCCCCAGGGAGAGGGGACCAATGCTCTGAACTCAATGCCCTGTTCTCAGCAGGGGTCCAGCAGATGTGTGGAATGGCTGGCTGGCTGGCTGTCTGAGTGGATGGCCTGATAGGGAATGAATGAAGGAGTGACTGGGAGGCTCTGTGCTTTGTGATGCCTGATGCCTGGTACTCAGGGACTGGTTCAATGTGATGGATGGATGGATGAATAGATGGATAGATGAGTGAATGGGTAAGTGAGGGGGATGATGGATGGAGGAGTGGATGCATTGGTGGATGGATGGATGGATGGATAGATGGGGTGGGTGGATGGATGGATAGGTGAGTGAGTAGATGGATAGATGAGGGGATGGATAGGTGAGGGGTGGATGTATGGATCAGTGGGTGCATGGGTGGGTGGGTGGATGGCTGGATGGCTGGGTGCATGGATGGCAGATGAGGGGCACTGGGTACACAGCGGACTCTTGATTGGCAGCACACTGGCCTCTGCTCCTCGGTTGGGCTTTGCCCTGCAGGCTGAGTGTCCACAGGTGTGGGGTTGAGTCTCAGCTTCATGGCAGGTGATAAGAGAAGCCACAGCACCAGGAGAGGGAGTGACCTCCAGCCTCGAGGACAGGCAGGAGTGAGGACACTGGCCTGGGGCCAGGCTCAGGGCTGTCCATTTCACCTCACTGATTTCCCTGTCAGCTGTCAGGAGTGACTCAGGGGTCACTTCAGTGACTCGCCCTTCCCTCGGGCTGGTGACTGTGCTGCTGG